GCCTACGCGCGAGACGGGTTTCGAACGTCGACGACGGGTCTCGGACGCCGCGGCCGCGCCGCCGGCGATGCGGTTCTTGCGCTCGAGGCGCTCGCTGCGAGGGGCTGTGAGGGCGCGGGCGCGGTGCGAGGACGCCGAGATCGCGCCGGTAGACGGCGACGGCCGTCGGGTGGTGCAGCGTGTTGCCGCGGGACCCGGCGTTGTGGCCGAAGGCCTCGAAGCGCGCTACGGGCCGCGAGGTCCGGTGCGTCTCGAGAAACAGGATTTGACGCGGGAACGCTGACGGTCCGCCGGGGCGCTCTTGCGGCCGCTCGTCTTCGTGCCCTCGTGGACCGTGAACTGGCACGTGAGCTTGCCGCTGGTCTCGCGGTAGTCGACGCCGTAGTACGCGGGGCACTGGTCGTCCTCGGCCCGCGGCGGCTCCTTGCCGGCGCGCCGCTTCGCGTCGCGGATGACGCGGTAGCACATGCCTACGAGAAGAACATGCCCCTGGAGCGAGACCCTCGTTCTCGCGCGAACTCTCGAAACACGTTTCGGGAGCAGGACGCGGCCGCCGACGCGCGCGCGCGCGGAGCGTCTCCATGTCGTTCACGTCGACCTACGAGCGGCGTCACGATCCAGAGATGCGCGCCGTGGTCCGCCAGGCGCGGGCCGGAGCACCGCCGTGAGGTAGAGCGAGACCTACGCGAGACGTCGCGTCGCTCCAAATGCTCGAAATCGAGGACGCGGCTTCGCGTACGCGCGGGACCGTCGCCAGGGCCTTGAGCAGGTTCGGGAACTCCTCGGGCCGCGCGGCGCACTGGGCCCAGACGCAGCAGCCGAAGCACTAGAGCGCACGGAAGTTTCGCGCGGCCGAGGCGTCAAATCGAAGGCGTCGAGTCTCTCGCGGACGCGCGTCTCGGACAAGACGGACGCCAGTCGCTCGAAATCTCGGACGCCGCCGCCGACGCGGCCCTTGAAGAGGCCGAGCTTGGAGCCGTAGGGGTAGCGCACGCCGCACTCCGGCTGCGCGTACCTGGACGCGGGAAAGAGCCTTCGTCGCCCGGCGCCCCGAAGTCGCGACGCGGATGGAGAACCGCATGCGCGGCCAGATCGTCGGCATGTTCACGAGGCCGGGGTCGGGCGCGCGCTGGAGCCGGTCCACGGGCAGCTCGTCGGCCGCCGCCGCGGCGACGTCGCGCCGCGCGAGCTCGTCGAACTCGAGCCGGAGCGGGTCCGTCTCCGCGAGGCCGCGCCAGCGCGCGACGAGGTAGTTGGAGCCGTTGTGCGAGCCCTTGCCGTAGTGGAAGACGACCTTCTTGGCGCCGTCTGCGACGAGCGTGGCCTGCGACGAGAATAGTGTCCGCGCGGGAAAGTTCGAAGTCGCAGAGACGCCGGGTCCTCGCGCGGCACGCGAGCTGCTCGGCCTTGTCGAGGCAGAACAGCTCCTCCGCGGACTTGGGCTTGCGCGGGACCTTGATCGTCGCCGCGGGCTCGCCGGCGCGGAGGCGGCGCACGAGGTCGCGGATGGCGGCGATACCAGGACCGCTGCCGCTCATGCTCCGGCCCTTCTTCGGCACGCCGGCCGCGTCCAGCTCCGCGCTGAGCTGCTTCACCGTCATGGCCTCGAGCGCCTTGAGCGGCGGCCCCACCGGCGCCGAGACCTACAAAAAGAACAATCCAACAAAAAAACGGCTGCAAAACAAAGGACGCGGGCGTCGCGCGTCCATGGCCGCGACGGCCGGCGGCGCGGGCTCCGGCGCGACGACGGGCGCGACGGGCGGGACCGCCGTCACGACGACGGCGTCGACGGCCGTCTCGTCGTAGGGCGTGGGCACGAAGGTCTCGCCGCGGGCCTCGGCGGCCTTGCGCGCGATCGCGTTCGCGAACTTGCGGATGACGCCCGCGAGCGTCGGGCGCGCGAGCAGGGCCA